GGTGGGAAGGGTGGGAAGGGTGGAGGGGCTTTTGCGAGGGCTGCGGCCGCTGCCGCCGCCGCCGCCGCGCTCGCTGGCTGGCCCAGTGCGGGCGCCGGACTCCCGCCGCCGAAGAGAATCAGCAGCGCCGTCGCCACCACTTCGGCCCGGGCCCGGGCCCCGGCCCCGCCCCGGGCCCCGGCCCCAGCCCCCTGCCCGGTCGGGCGATGAAGTGTCACTACGAGGCGCTAGGGGTGCGGCGCGACGCCAGCGAAGAGGAGCTCAAGAAGGCCTATCGGAAGCTGGCCCTGAAATGGCACCCGGGTAACTACTCCGCAACCGCCGCAGCCCTCGCAAAAGCCCCTCCACCCTTCCCACCCTTCCCACCCTTCTCCCCGGAATAACTCCGAGACCCTGGCCAGTCTCGACTTACCGAACCTGTAACTTCCCTCGTCCTGGAGACCGGCCCGGTCCCCGCCAGGTGCCCCTGCGCAGTGCTCCTCTCGCCGGGCGCCCGCTCCGCGCCTCAGTGTTTGCATTCCTCTACCCTAGGCTTTACTGGAGCCCCCAGCCCCTCGTCCCCTCCCAGACCCCCCCCCCACCCCACCCGACGCTTCCCGCGAGGCCACCTGATGGGAAGGACAACATTGTACCGACTTCACCCGCTCCTCCCACCCCTTCGCCAACACCACCGAAGGAGGAGTCGTGGGTTCTCTGGCTTGGCCCTTGCTTGAGTCCCGGCCGCTCAGCTAGCTGGATTTTAACTTCATCACGGAGTCCCAGCTACCCACGTGTAATTTATGGACCCTTATTGAAATTTAGACAAACTAGTAAAATGTCTTTTAAATAGCTGTGCCTTTTTTTTTTTTTTCCTCTCCGAGTAAGCTGTTGAAGTACAAACCCTGTACTCCACTTCGGATGTTCTGCAGATTGAGTTTTAATTGGGTGTCTTCCCTAGTGAAGTTTGTATGTGTACTTAGAAGTATGTTTCCTTTGGATGTTTTATTTGGTGGTAGTTCAGGCCTGTGTGACCTTTGTGAAGTAATCTGATCTTACAGACTGGGAAACTAAGGCTGTAGTCGAATGTCAGCTTTTTGAGGTTTATAAGAGGTTTACACATTAGCACTAATCAGTAAGCGCATTTATAGTCTCCAGTACATGCAGGTCACCATAGTAAGATTCTGAAATGCTAAGAGACTTCAAGAGTGTTGCTGGGAAAATATGCCCTACGCCAGGAAAAGGCAACTACAAGTGCAAACCAAACAGCAGAACATACACAATTGGTAGTTGGATTGATAGAACAACTTACAAATGCCCCAGGGATTCAGGGGAGGGAGTTTTCACTGTGTCTTGAGAGGCAGCGAGGCTTCCCGTTGGCACAGAAGCCTGGATTTTAGCTGGATCCTAAAGGAATGGAATTGGGAAAAGTGAACTTAACAGTAGAGGGAAGAGGAAGAGCATCATGGTGGACAGAAGATGGCCCAGGGGATGGTTTGACCGAAGGCAGTGTTTCCTGGAAATCTGAAAATATGGGTTGGGAGAAGAGCTGAAAGAAGGGCCTGGGACTCAGAGTCGGAAGGTAATGTCTGTAGGTGATGGAACAAGAAATCAAGGTATGGGTTTGTTACTTACAATGGTAATGATTACCCGCAGAGGAGCTAAACGTGTATTGGAAAGGAAGAAGTAAGCTAAACGTTTGTTACAGCAGGAAGTCAGTAGCTATATCCAAAATTAGTAAATACAAAAACAGCATAGAAACATATTCTTAGAGTAATAGAGGTTGTCATCAGAAATTGAATTAGGAATTAGAAAGAAGTTAGGAATTCCTTGACTCTCTGGCTGGGAAAGTGTGAGAAAGGATTAATGCTTGTGACCCAATACATACATTTTGATGACAGTGTTCTGATGTTTTTGAAAAGTAGTTTTAAGATTAGATTGTAAAGCGTCTTGAATGTTAGGCTAAGGACTGTGAAATTTGTTTTTCGATAATGGAGGGTTGAAGCTGATTTTATTAAGATATCTTGAGGAGGTACTGTGATGGGAACTGAGTAGATTAAAGAGAGACAGAAGTCCGTTAGAGTCCACCGTGACAAATAAGGGCCCAAGCCAGGTTGGGGATCAGTGTGAGGGAAGGGCAGGGCTGGGTCGAAGAGATGCTGTAAAGGAAAAATGACCAGATTTGGTGATTAGTTGGAAATCAGTGCAAGGAAGAAGTATGCAAATGTTATTAAAAACATCAGTTAACTATTTTGAAACCAAACCAGTTAGTAACTAAATGTGAATATCTTCTCTGAATGCCATCATAAGTCATAGCATCCTAAATATCTCTTGGTTTGAAGATGCTTATACCTTTAAAGGATACATACTCTTCCAGGAGATACATGATTCTGATATACTTTGCTGTGCTGGCTTGTTAATTTGTTCAGTTCGTCACTCGGCAAATGTTTAATTTCATTCTATAAGCAAGGTCCCATGTTAGATGTTTCTGAGGTTGACGTATGGACTTTTCTTCAAAGAATGATTTGTACCTCAAGGTGAAAGGCTGCTCATTTTTCACTGTTAAAGGTAATTTCTTCTGGGTTTTGTTTTGTTTTTTTTTTAATTGAGCAACTGAAAATAATTCTCAGGGTGAACAGTACTGCCTAGTGAAGGGAAGGCTTTTATCAGATGACTGCCCTGAGCACTTTACTGTGTAAATGAGACAGGAATGGTCCCTGCCTTCTGCCGGCACGTATAGTCTTCAGGGAGTCACAGGAGAACAGGCAATTTCAGTCTGCTGAGATAAGAGCCATATGAGAGCAAATAGAAGATGCTTATCAGCACACATACATGACCTGGACTAAGTTTGTTATGGGTGGGATAGATGTTCATCTCTGAAGAAGGGACTTTAAGGTGAGACCTAACACCAGAAAGGCAGGGAATACAGGTGGAGGGAGGCAAGACAAAGCATGGCAGAGTGCAGGAAGGGAAAAGACATAAGCATGGCCAGGTGGCCAGCAGCCAGGTCTTGGAGATTGGGGTAAACTGGATTAAGCAGATTGGATTCTCACCACAGGGCATTGGGAAGCCACTGAAGAGTTGGAAGCAGGGGTTTTTGTTTTTCGAGCATCTCTCAGGCTGTTATGGAGAGAGTACATTGGAGCAAGCAAGACTGGAGGTAGGGAGACCAGAAAGTCAAGGTACATTGAAGACCCATGGTGATGATGTGACCTGGGGATGGAACTCGGAGCCAAGTGCCAGAATACTCAGTGAGTTAAGTGGGGGAGGGGTTGAGAGATGCTTGGACAGTGAGAAGGGGAAGAAGGTGGGTGGTGGCCAATGAATAGTCTGGAAGGAATGCTAGTTTCCCCTCGGGGATGAGTAAAGGACCAGAGGCCAGGAACCAGGAGGATGCGGCTCCAGCACCAGCCCTGCCCTGTGAGGGCTGCAGCTGAAGGGGCCCGAGAGGGAAGCCTACGGGGAAGTGGTGTTTTAAGGGAGCCTGGCCTCCGTCAAGGCAGGACGTAAAAGGCTCAATCCATGAAATCTTCCGGAAGGCACTGTAAAAATGTTTAGGAGGGAATAGAAGAGAGTGTCAGAGGATCAGGAGAAAAGCACAAAGAATAGTGTGAGAATGTCTTTTAAACTTTTTCAGCTGGATTTGAAATGCCTGTGGCCTTTGCATGTGGCTAGTAATAAATGTGGGCTTTTTCTTTAATATTGCTTTTTAACTTACTGCATTTTTTATTTTAGATCCCAGTTTAACATGGTCAACCCTTTCAGGTATATTTAAGTGAAATAAAAAGCCATATGACAGACTGAAAAAAATATTTAAGAAAGATGCTTCAGTAAGGGGTTAGATCTTATTTTCAGCTGGTACAGTGACAGACTTCATGTGTTTAAAAGCTTGAGCTTTCTCCACATTTCTTTGGGGGAGGAAGGAAGGGAGTGGGAAGAAACAGGACAACAAAGTACAGTACTGATTAAAAGGTGAAGAAGAACCACCCACTTACCTCCCCCAGTCACCTTTTTTGTTTTATGTGGGAAGGTTTATTTGCTGGCATTTTCTGCCACCCCTCTGTAATTTGGACTGTGCTTTTTTATTTATCTGACAAAAAGTTTATGAATGATTTGATGAAGATGTAGAAATCATGAGCGTTTTTAGCTGGACTCTCCCCTTGAAGGCAGATCAGGACTGTGTTGAGCTGTGTGTGACGGGAGGCTGGCTGCAGTAACTAAACCAAGTAGTTTTGTTTTTCTCACCTAGCAAGGAATCCACCTGTGGCCCAGCTTGGTAGCCCCGGCTGCTTGATGAAACCTTCAAAGACCTGCTCCAGGGTCCTGACCAGAAGGCTTGAGCGCTCGCACCAAGTATAAGCAATTAAGCCTCAAAGACAGTTTATTGCTCTCTCGAGGAGAGGTGCTGAGACAGGCAGGCTGCCATGGAGCGGTTCTCCTCCACCGGGTCCGTGGACTCTGCTCAGCCGCTCGTAGGTGGGCCCTCACTTGCTGTCCAGGGTGGCAGTTGGGGATCCCAGAGAGCAGAGTGGAGGAGGACAGGAGAGAGCAGGGACGGAGAGTGCCTGCCAGTTGCCTTTCAAGGAAGACTTTTAAAAGCTGTCATAGAGCACTTTTACACGTGTTCAATGGCAGCTTAGTCACGGTCGTGCCCAGCTTCAAAGGAGACTGAGAAATGGAGTTTTTATTACAGGACCAGATGCCCACCACAAAATCAGGGTTCACTTGTTACTGGGAGAAGGGGATGAACTAGCGGTCTCTGTCTCAATCCTCAGCATCACCTGTAGGCCTTATACACTGGCTTTGGGCTGGGTTAAGGGCATAAAGTGAATGCCACTAAAGCCCATTCGTTTCATGGGGAAAATAAAACCTTTCCTGGGAAGTTTCAATTGGTAGGCATGTGTTTATATCTCCTTGGCTAAACCTGGGTCACCTGATATCCCCAACCTCAAGAAATTTTGGGGCGGTGAATTTTTTAACTGGGTACTTTACCACTGTGAACAAAATCAGGGTTTTGTTAGAAAGAAGATGAGACTAGATATGGGGTAGACAACTACTAGTATCTTTCGCAGAGTGGTAATCAAAATTTAATATAATTACAACAGGGCACTGAGTGTCCTGTGTTACCTAAACCTGATGCAGCAGGGCCACAACAAAACGGAATTTGGTAGTACAGTAAAGCCTTAGCTTGCGAGCATAATTTGTTCTGGAAACATGCTTGTAATCCAAAGCACTCCTATATTAAAGCGAATTTCAGAAACCATTGGTTCAGTTGTGTTCATGTGACCTTTGGCATCATGTACTACTTGTATTGCAAGACATCACTTGTTTGTCAAGTTAAAATGTACCAGAAATGTTTTCTCGTCTTGTGGAACACTCGCAGAACAAGTTACTTGCCATCCAAGGTTTTGTTGTGTTCATTGGAAATAACAGAAAACCTAGCTGCAGTGGCTTACAAAAAATTAAGAAGGTTCTCTCTCTCTCTCTCTCTCTCTCTCTCTCTCTCACTCTCTCACTGCGAGAAGGCTTGGAGGTAGGTTCCTGCTGGCATTGTTTCAGTGGTTCATGTTTCAGTGGTCTCAAGATGGCTGCTGAAGCACCAAACATCATGTCCACATGCAAGACAGGAAGAAAGAGAAAGGAAAGAAAATATACTAATAGACTTCTGCTGTCATCTCATTGGTCGGAACTGTGTCATAGGGCCATTCTAGCCGCAAGGGAGGCTGGGAAAGTAAATACCTTCGCTTATCCAGCCTCCACAGTAGAGGCTGCAAGAGGAAAGGGGAGAGGTGTTGGACGATCTAGCATTTAGTGCCTGCCACAGAATGGATTAAGAGCTTTATCTGAGTGGGGTTTTTTTTAAGTTTATTTATTTATTTTGAGAGGGTGTGTGTGTGTGTGTGTGAGAGAGAGAGAGTATGAGTGAGGGTGGGGCAGAGAGGGAGAGAGACAATCCCAGCATGGAGCCTGATGCCAGCCTGACTCAGGCTCAATCTCCTGAACCTTGAGATCATGACCTGAACCAAAATTAAAAGTCAGACGTTTAACCGACTGAGCCACCCAGGCACCTCTTGAGCTATATCTGAATTTTAAAAAGTCCATTATATAGTTGTTAGTTGGCTTGTCAGTAATATGCAAAAGACTTGAAACTTTGTCAGCTGTAAATTCAGCATGAGGTAATGATGTCACCGAAGGTTAATGCAATGAGCTGTAGTGATTAAAAGTAGAGTGTGAAGAAAAGGAAGTAATGACTGGCTCCTTGATTATTGGTGCCTGTCTTCAGCTGCATTGGAGGTAGGGGATTGTGGTGTGCCCTAAGAAATGGGAAGATTTTGTGCAGGGAGAAGGTTGACTATGAGATGACCATTGGCTGTCTTCAGATGGACTACACTGTGGAAAGGGATTTAGACTTGCATCATATTACTTTTCATTTATAGTTAGGCTGCAGGGATGGAGATTTTTTTTTTCTTCCAATTTAACAGGGCTGTGATTCTAAAATAATATGGAAAACTTTTTATGTTAAAGTATCTTTGGGGTGCATGGGTGGCTCAGTTGGTTAAGTGTCTGACTCTTGGTTTGGGCTCAGGTTATGATCTCATAGTTCATGAGTTTGAGCCCCTCGTAGAGCTCTGTGCCGACAGCGTGGAGCCTGCTTGAGAGTCTCTCTCTCTCTCTCTCTCTCTCTCTCTCTCTCTCTCTGCCCCTCCCCCGCTTGCACCTACATGCTCTCCCTCAAAATAAATAAATAAACATTTTTTAAAAAGTATCTTAAGAAGAGCTGTGGCAAATTGGTGCATTTGAGAAAGTATCGTCAGTGATAGTTGAGCAGAACACCACCTGAAGGACTGGGCACCAGTGTGATGGTACCTAAAAAGAAGAGGCAGGATGTCCTCAAAGGTCTTATTCTAAGGCTGCAAGATTCTTCGTAGGGAGTATGTTTCTATCACACTTTTCCTCCAGTCTTAGAGGGCAAGTATTGAGTTGTAGCTTATGAAATTTTGGAATGCTTCATGGTAGATTCAAACATTTAACTTCCTGAGCATATCACTTATCTGTTACTACATAACAAATTATCAAAAACTTAGGGCTTAAAACAACAGACACAGCAAACATGTTCATCATGGACTCAGTTTCTGAGGTTCAGAGTATGGGAATGGCTTAGCTAGTGGTTTTGGCTCAGGGTTTCTCATGAGGTCATATCTTCAGTGGGAAAACCCACTTTCGATCTCACATGGTATTGGCACGCCTCCTTTCCTTGCTGGCTACGGGCCACAGGCCTCCATTCTCCACGTGGTCCACCTGAGTGTCCTCATGCTGTGGCATCCGGCTACTCCCAGAGTGACCCAAGACAGAGCAAGAGTCCAAGATGGAAACTGCGGTCTTTTTAAAACTAATCTCAGAAGTGACTTACCATGCTGTCATCCTTTCTGCTGCCCACTGTTGGTCACACAGACCACCCCTGGTGACCTGTGAGGGGACTACACAGGGTATGAATGCCGGGAGCTGGGGATCCTTGGGGGCCCTTGGGGGCCGTCTTACAAGCTGGCCACCTCCCTGAGGCAAAGATGTTCCCTGAATTCTGTAGTTAAGGAAGCACAGCTAAGGGAAGAATGATTAGTATATATATTTTAAAGCTTTATGAGGTTTATTTTGATATATGTTGATGAGAAAGAAAAACAGTGTGAAGAGTAAACGTAATACTAAGTAAGTTGTCTGTAACTGGTTTGATATATATGTTTTGCTTTTTCTAAAAATGTGTACTAGTCAGGGTTTTCTGCTGGTGGCTATCCAGTTTGAGTACTCAGGGATGCACCACGGCTGAGGGGAAAGCATGAAATTTCCACTCAAGTAAGATACTTCTCACAGATTCTGATTATCAACTCTCCCCCAGGTCTCTTGGCCTTTCCCTGGTTGTTTTCCTTTGTTTTGTACACGCCTCATCTGTTTATGACATTTGTGATGAAAGAGGTCCCTTTCAGATACTGTCCTCTACTTGTTTGATGACTAAATATCTGTGACTTTATTTTAACAGATAAGAATCTGGATAATGCCGCAGAAGCAGCTGAACAATTTAAGTTAATCCAAGCAGCGTACGACGTGTTGAGTGACCCTCAGGAAAGAGCATGGTGAGCGTCACACTGTCCCTCTTATCTTAGTGTGTTTTCTTGGAAGGAGTGATCAGTAGAGGATTTAAAAAATACATCACATATAGACGTGGACGTTAGATGTTTCGGTGTGTTCTGACGCGTCTCTCAGCTATTCGTTATATAAAATGTAGTATTAAGGTTGAAGGAACCTTAGAGGTGATTCATTTTATGGGTGATGGGACAAAGTTTGGCAATATTAAACAGATTTGACTTTGATACTGGTGACGTAACTTCTCATTAAATGGGATCTCTTTGGTGTATGACAAACTTACTGGTGTTGGACAAGCATATTGACTTGTCCTGAAAAAACACATACGTGTCAATGCAAGAATTGCAAGGCTTCTCTAAGAACTACTTCATATGAAGAAATTGAGTTAAGCTACTACATCTATGATGGATACTTTTACTTATGCTGACCTGATACGAGAATTTCTGTGTTTAAAGTTGAGTTTTCAGATCCTTGATGAACTCTTTGCTACAAAGGAATAGGTTTTAAGCCCCGACGTAACTGTGTAAGAGCCTGCTGTTACGAAGAGCTCGGGGTTCGGTGCTGTTGTGGGAGTCTTCTGTGTGTTAAAAAACGTACAGCGCACGGCTGGCTGTCAGGGAGAAAGGCTGTAAAGAAAAATCGTCACAAATTGTCTTTTATATAAAAATCAGAGAGAATCTCCTACATGTTTCTCCTCCCTAAGAATTTGGAGATCTGGCCTTAGAGAATGCTTAAATTCTTTCCTGACTTCCTTGGCTCTGTGCTCTTCTCCTTGTCCTAAGGACTCTCTTGTCCTTTCTTCTGAAGCCCCTGTCTATTAACAATCTTGCTGCCTGCAGGCCTGGCTGCACTGTGGCTGGGAGCACAGCCCTTCGGTTGCAGGAGGCCTGAGCTTTGCCACTTATTGGGTTTGTGATGATGGACAGCAAGTTATTAAATATCGCTGAGCTTCAATTTCCTCTTCTATCTTTAGGGGTAAGAACTAACGTTACAGAGTTATGATAAAGAGTGATTGTGTGTGTGTGTGAAGCTCCTAGACTGTTTACATAACCCTACAAAGAGTCTTGTTCTGGTCGATGTTGGTGGTAGATCTGATCACGAATGTATAAGGAGTCTATGGAGCAGGTTATGTCCAGTGCTGACTTTAGTAAAATGCAGTTGCTTTTCTGGGAGTGTCCTGGGAATTCCCTGGCTTGTTAAATTCCATCGTTCGGATGGATTAGTACTGTGTAATGCCTGCGGCATATTGGAAGTTGCAGTCATAGTTTTAATCAGCAGTTTTGTGAAAGATTATTCTTTTCATGTTGATATTTAAAAAATTTTTTTTCAGTTGTGGACTGGACATAATAAAATGTATAATAATAATAATATTTGGCCTATTTCAGAGTAAGGAGTCCTTCTGAATTCTTACTCAGCACTCACTGATGATGCTAATTTGTTTTGTTTGTTTAGGTATGATAATCATAGAGAGGCTCTACTGAAAGGTGGGCTTGATGGAGAATATCAAGATGACAGCTTAGATTTGCTTCACTATTTCACTGTTACCTGTTACTCTGGTTATGGAGATGATGAAAAGGTAAGATAAGTGAACTCACTCTTAATTTTGTATCAAGCACAAGACTTTCAAACATAAAGAGAATTCCCTTTGTCTTTTTGAAGCGTATTTATTTTGAGAGAGACACGTGCATGAGTGGGGGAGGGGCAGAGAGCGTGGGAGACAGAATCCTAAGCAGGCTCCACACTGTCAGCTCAGAGTCCTGTGTGGGGCTCAGATCCATGAACTATGAGATTCATGACCTGAGCCGAGACCAAGAGTCAGACACTTAACTGACTGAGCCACCCATGCGTCCCACAAAGAGAATTCTTAAAATTATAACAGGTGAAGCAGTGTTCATTTTGGAAACTGAAAACACAATGGCTTCATATTTAAACTGTCAGCATATGAAAACCTCCAGTTGAAACCTAAATGTTCTTGCGGTGACAGAGCTCGGGTCTGTAATTTCCTTAACATTAAAGGTTTTCATGTTACATTTAATTTTTTTTTTAATTTTTTTTTTTAATGTTTATTTATTTTTGAGACAGAGACAGAGCATGAACGGGGCAGGGTCAGAGAGAGAGGGAGACACAGAATCTGAAGCAGGGTCCAGGCTCTGAGCTGTCAGCACAGAGCCCGACCCGGGGCTTGAACTCACGGACCGTGAGATCATGACCTGAGCCGAAGTCGGACGCCCAACCGACCGAGCCACCCAGGGGCCCTTTCATGTTACATTTTAAAATCTTATTCTGTGATCATACAGAAAAGTGTTAAGAATTTGTGTTTCTGCTACTGTTTTTTAGGGCTTTTATACGGTGTATCGTAACGTTTTTGAAATGATTGCAAAGGAAGAACGAGAATCCGTGTTAGAAGAGGATATGGAGGATTTCCCAACTTTTGGAGACTCTCAGAGTGACTATGACACGGTAAAAGAAGCTTGCATTGCCGTTTTATAATTAGCATTTTATTAGTGTCTCCCCCCGCCTCTATTTAAAAAGACGGGTTCCTAGTTCTGGGTCCTATGCTGTAACTTTCTTCCTCTCTCCTTCTGGAGGGGCTTTCAGCTCCCTCACAGCCTCTGTTTTTACTTTTCCCTGTTTATTGAGTGTGGTCCCATCCCATTAATTGCCTCCTTCAGTTTGTTCTGGAGAGGGATTTATTCTGTAAAGCCTTAAAAGGATTGTTTTCTCCATGGATTAGTAGTGATATTATGTATATGAAAAAGATGTTTTGTGTCACTGATTTTTGCTGCCTCACTGAAGGAAAAAATCTTACACCACGGCATTTGACTTGTTTTCTTTGTCTCTAGGTAGTCCATCCTTTCTACGCTTACTGGCAGAGTTTCTGCACTCAAAAGAACTTTGCTTGGAAGGAAGAATATGATACACGACAAGCTTCAAACCGCTGGGAGAAGCGAGCCATGGAAAAAGAAAACAAAAAGATCCGAGACAAAGCAAGGAAGGAGAAGAACGAGCTTGTGCGCCAGCTGGTAGCTTTCATCCGGAAGAGAGATAAAAGAGTGCAGGCGCATCGGAAACTCGTGGAGGAACAGAACGCGGAGAAGGCGCGGAAGGCCGAGGAGATGAGGCGGCAGCAGAAGCTAAAGCAGGCCAAGTACGGGATGTGGGATGCGTGGCGGGGCCCTTTCCAGGCAGAGGTGTGGGGCCAAACCTGACAGGTGCTTTCCAGGGGGAGAGGGGGCCAGATCGTCATCCTGGCTTCGTCTTGTTTTTTTAAATCCTGGTGTTGACAGTTTTTCATCTACCATGAAAATGTATTTCTTTTGAATCCCTTTATTCTTCAGATCCTTTGCAGACACTTGTGAGATGTAATGATAGTGACTCTTAATTTGAATTCTTGCTCCGTGCAAGGCCCTGTTCTAAGCTCTTTTCTCACAGCAGATCTGCAAAGTAGGTTCTGGTTTTGATCCTCATTCCTTTGAGGGAGCGAGGCCGAGAGGTCCAGGATCCCATAGCCGGGAAGTCACACAGGCAGGAATTGGACCCGAGAAGTCTTTGCAGGGCCCTGGCTTTGCACCCCACTGCGACGCTGTGTCTGTCGGTGTACTCCAGATATGTAGTTCATTCTTGTGCCTGTAAAGTTTGTGAGTTAGCGCGAGAGCATCGGGTCCAGAGCATTCTTCTAAAAATTACTCACTTCTCCAATTCTACCAACCCCACCCTTCCATCTTTGGAAAATTAGCACTTTACTTGACACTTAGAATTTCAAAGTACCTCAAGACTTTTAATAACTTGCTAAGAGTTCTAGGTTTCAAAGCCCATCATCTAATAAGCAGTTTGAATCACATAAGCACATAACAGAACAGATCAGTGACTTTGCCCCCGCTGGAACTAAGCCCAGGTTTTAAAAGTGTGGACGCGCTGACAGCTTGGGAGGAAGGAGCTCTCTGGGGGATGGATTGTCAGCCCAAAGAGCAAGTAGAACCGTGTGCAGACCTGCTTCTGAGTGAGAGATTATGCTGTGTGTCTAGACTGGCTGGCCAGTACAAGGAACAGAGCTGGATGACCACGGCCGACCTGGAGAGGGAGCTCAAGGAGATGGAGGCGCGCTACGAGAAGGAGTTTGGAGACGGCTCAGCCGAAGATGAGGTGGAGGGGCCTGAGCTCAGAGACGAGCACGATGGTAACTTCATTCGTTAAGAGACTTTAGAAAGTAAATGTTTTTATGCGCAGATGAAAGGAGAACAGATGCAAACCTGGAGACCTCGGAGTTCCAGTCAGCTGTGGCTGGTGTTTTCATGCCCGCCTGCTTTTTAAGCAGAGCTGGAAATCCGGACTTTTATGTGACGTCTTCCAGTTTTTAAAGGTGGCAGATAATTCAGATGAAAAACAGTCCAGTATAGGCCAAGCAAAGGTAGTCCACTGAAGTAGTCCGATCCCTATAATTTGATTAGTAAACTCTTTTCTGGCCGTGTTTTGGATAGTTTGTGCTTCTGACTGCATACATGATCTGCCAAGTGGGCACAGTGACAGGTGTGACTGCTGGTTACTTAAAAACTGCAGGGAAGCTCGCAGTAGGTCAAGTTTTAACATCAACTCTTCCCAGAAAAACTAATGTTGTACAGGAGCCTCTGTGAGCTATATAAATTCTTCCTCTCATTTCTCACTTTGTTGAGGGTCTCCCCCTGGTGTGCTCTAGTGTGTCATTTCGGTGCCTCTCTCCTTACAGCACAAGGGACATGACTGCCGTGAAAGGCAAGGTTAGGCCTTGAGAGTACCTGACCTTCCGCATGGTCTCTAGCTGCTCCACGAGAAATAACATGGAATGATCTACACACAGCTTAGTCAGTTTCACCTTACCTACACGTGGGTAGCCCAAATGATAAAATGGTGGATTTTTATTTATTCAAAATGATCAGGAAATGAAATGTTTTATTAATGACTTAGAAGTAGTATGTGTGAAAGTCTCTTGAAAATTGTAAAGCAGTCTATAAACGTGAGGTGGCATGATTAGGTAGAATTTTATAATTTTTGAAGTGCTTTTATATACAAGAGTATGCTTGATCCTCACACAATACCCTTTAAATGTACGTTTTGCTCATAAAATGATAGCAGTTTTACTGAAGCGGAAACTAAGACTGAGAAGCTAGGACATAGGCCTGAGAACATATGGCCATTTATAGATCCAGATTTTGACTTCAAATCCAACAATCTTCATTAAATATTTGATTAATCAAAGGTTATTTCATTTACACGATATATTGACAGGGTACAGGGAATTGGACAATAATACTATTTGCTAAATGTTAATATTAGGATGTGTTTTGATCATTTATGATTTCATTGAGAATGTCCTTCAAAATCATATTCACATCACCTATATATAAAGAATCAAAACGTAGACTATAGAAGAGTACCTTGGGATCTTTATTGATCTCATTGCATGATCTCATTTATTGATCTCAGTGGCAGTCAAGTTGCTTGTTTTATTCCTTATAAAGATAGATTATGGGATTTTTCAAAGACTTTGAATTCAGTGTTATAGTTGCTTAGATTTTGCAAACTGTATTGATAGTAATTATTTGTTGTAATAAAGCCCTAAGCTTATGAAAAAACAGTGTAAGGACATGCTAAAGTTTACATGTAATATGCTATTTTATGACCAGCCTGTCAAATAATGATGGAGTGTTATAAGCTTAAGTTTATTGAAGCAGTTAAGAGTAGGTTACAGTTATAAATGTGTTTGCATCAAATCTTGCTCAAGAAGTAAACTAAAAAACCTTTGTTGAAAAAACTTCTTTGTGGTAAAACCATGAAAGCGGCATTTGGTTTTCTGAACTTAGCTCATACTGAGAACTTCAAGAAGATTTTGAGTCTTTTTAGTGTATTTGTGAGAAGAACTTGAAAGATAAAATGGTTTATTTGGAAGCCTTCCCTTATAATTCAGGGCTGCTTTTAAAAGGTAATCAAATCCTAGGCACTGGATAGCTCAGTAGTTAAGCATCTGACTTCAACTCGCATCATGATCTCACGGTTGGTGAATTCGAGCTCTGTTTTGGGTGAGCTTGTGCCCGGCTTTGGGCTAAAAAAAAAATAACATGAGCCCCAGGTGAGCTCTGCTTCTTTCTCTTTCCCTCCCTCCCTCCCTCCCTCCCAATCTCTCTCTCTCTCTCCCTCTCTCCCCCTCCCCCTCCCTCCCTTCCTCTGCTTCTTTCTCTTTCCCTCCCTCCCTCCCAATCTCTCTCTCTCTCTCTCTCCCCCTCCCCCCTCCCTCCCTCTCTCTCCCTCTCTCTTTCTCTCCCCCCCTCCCCTTCTTTACCCCTCCCCTGCCTTTTGTGGGATTCTCTCTCTCTACTCTCTCTTGCACCCTCTAGATAGATAGATAGATAGATAGATAGATAGATAGATAGATAGTAATCAAATGCTAGTAACATTATTTGTTTTGTCTCCGGAAATGCAGTTTCTAATTTGTGTGTGATGTTAGATCGTTACTAAAGAGATGTTTTAGATCTGTGTTCTACTCAGCCAGGATTCTTACTGCCGGCTTCCCTCTTGTAGGTAGAGACAGTGATGAGGTCGAGGATGCTGAGCTGTACGATGACCTTTACTGCCCAGCGTGTGACAAATCTTTCAAGACGGAAAAGGCGTACGTTTAATATCTTTAAACTCCCCTTTTCTTCTGAGGGTGAAGTGTAACTCTGAAAGTCCTAAAGAGAAAGTGCTTGTGGCAGTTGGACACCAGCCCTCCCATGTCTTCTTGGGGGGTTTCTGTCTAACAGAGGAGGAAGAAGGATCTGTACCAGCAGTTAAGCATGTTGTACTGATTCTCATTCATGCCAGTATTCCTGTGTAATAGCTGCTTTTTAAAACATGGATGCGTCTCCAGAAAGAAATGTTGCTTGTTGTGACAAAGAAGGCATAGTCACGCGGAAAACCAGAAGCTAATCTAGACCGAAGCTAATCTCTGCTGTTGCAGGCAGACTCCCTTCCAGCCCTCACGCTCCTGTGCGGGCCATTGCTGCCAACGTAGGAACGTGTCCTGCCTAGACCATATCTGCTGAAGCAGAAGGACTCTGCCTTTGGGGAACAGTGAAGAAAAGAGAAATGTTTGAAAGGATTCTATTATAAAGGGCAGGGGGGACCAGGGCAGAAAGTGAAAGTAGAGGCAGCAAGGGACAAAGAAACAAAACACACGCAGTGAAGGAGACAGGAGACGAAAGGATGGCAGTGGTGGTGTGGGGTCATCAAGGGTGTTGGTGTGTAACCCCGAGGGAAGGGAGAAATGGTAGAGTGGCGAGAGAAGTGGCAAGGGCAGGAGAGTTAGAAACAAGCGAGAAAACAAAAGCAGCAGTGAGGAAATTTAGAAAATTATTTTTGTAAACAGATTTTTTAAAATAATTTTTTTAAGTTTATTTCGAGAGTGAGAGCGAGCACATGGAAGGGGCAGAGAGAGGGGGAGAGAGAGAATCCCAAGCAGGCTGGGTACTGTCAGCACAGAGCCCGACGTGGGGCTCGAACTCACAAACCGTGAGATGATGCCCTGAGCCAAAATCAAGAATCGAACGCATAACTGACTGAGCCACCCTAAAAAGTTATTTTTCACTCGGAAATAATGTCAAACTTACAGGCAAGTCGCAAGAATAGATATAGAGCACCCAATTCACCTGTTGCTAACATTTTGCCCCATTTGCTTTAACGATTCTCTTCCTCCCTCCCTCCCTTTCTCCCTTTCTCTCCCCCCTCCCCCCTTCCCCACTCTACACACACAGGTTTTGCCTGACTAATTTGAGAGCAGGTTACATCCATAATGCTCTTTTACCTTTCAGTACTTCAGTACATGTTCCTTAAGAATAAGTATATTCTGTTACGTGATCACAGTACAGCTGTCAACTTCAGGAAGTTTGTAACATTGATACTGCTTCCCTCTCCTTTACTGGCCTGTACTCCACTTTCAGCAGTAGATCTGTGTTAGTGTCCTGTACAGTTTCTTTTCTACTTCAGCACAGAATCCAGTTTAGGATCATGTGTTGCATTTATTTAGTTAGTCTTGTTTAATCTGGGCCAGTTCCCTTGTCTATGCCATTGTTACTGTAGTATACTGGCCCTTTAAAATATTTTTTTATTAGAGTATTTATCATTTTGAGTTTGTCTGTCTCCTCATGATTAGTTTCAAGTTGTGTATCTCCAGCTGGAATACCACATAGACATGTTGTGTTGCTCTCAGGGTTTCCTTTCTGGAGGCATATGATGTCTGTCTAGCCTTCCTTGTGGTAATGATTTTGATCACCCAGTCCAGGCATTGTCTAATTTTTACTCTATAGAGTTAGTGTATTTTTCCCTTGCAATAGATTTTACCTTATAGGATGTTTATCTGAGATACTTTAAAGTAGGCAAGTATCTGAGCACCGGGGTGGCTCAGTTGGTTGAGTGACTTCAGCTAAAGTCACGATCTCACGGTTCATGAGTTCGAGCCTGCGTCGGTCTCTGCAGACACTGAAGAGCCTGCTCGGGATTCTGTCTCCCTCTTCCTGCCCCTCCCCCACTCTCACACACTCTCTCTCAAAAATAACCGATTAAAGTTAGGCAAATATATTGCTCCTCATCACAATTTTCTAGATTTGGCATTTATTGATGATTTTACCTTGTACCAGTTGCCACTGTAATGGTCCCAAAAGGGGGCTTTTCTGGTATCAGTGCTCCTGCTATAGTATTAGTCCTCATTTGGTCTTCTGCTATAATAAGAGCCCTGCCTTTCCTCTGTCTGTCTATTATCAGTATGAATTTGTGAATTTTTTTCAATGTTTTATAATTTATTACTGTACTTTTCATGCTCAAACTTTTCCAGATATGGTTAGTGAGAGTTCCTTCAAGGTGGCTCCTTGAAGAACATCCCAGGCGTTCTTTTGAGCACTTACCTTCTGGTACAAGATGTTCCAATTTCTCCAAGGAAACATGGTCTGAAGGAAAATTTTAGTGGAGAGGAAGAGTAGCAACTCAAACTAGAAAACCACAACTCTGAACAAATGAGATGAAGTTGATAGTGACATAGTTTCCCACTTTTCTTGTTCATCTAACGACTTGGTACTTCAGTGTTGTCAACTCAGTTTTGTGAAGTGTTACTTAGTGGTCCACAGATGCACTGAAAGAGACGCGGCTCGTGGAGTTTTAGGCAGAGGAGGACAGGTGTGTGTGAACTCACACTTAGGATGGTAGGAGTGAGGAGGGAGAGCCCTCTGGAGGAGGTGAAAGACAGTTACTGATAAAAGCAAAAGGAGGTGAACTACTCTTGTACTTCAAGCCTTCACGTCCTAACCCAAGGGGCCTTCCTTTTTAAGTTGAATGTCGTCCTATAATTTCCCAAGATCTCTCGAAGCCCACAGCACACTCTGGAACATGTCAGCGCTTGGCAGATACTCGGTGATTAGGAGGAAATGGTGGAGAAGACTTGAATCTTAAGGACTGGAAAATTAAAATAATAGAATTTGCCCCCCCCCCAAAAAAAATTTTTTTGAAGAAAATCTGTAGATAGAAGGACAGCTGGAGGGGAAATACTGGATACAGGGAAAAACAACTACTGCCTGACAGGTCCTGACACGGTCTTTCTGGTTCTCTCTCTGGTATCACCAATAGTTTGCTTACTTGGAAAAATAAATTTTAATGTGGTTGCACATATTCAGCCACATATTTGGGCACATGTGACTTCTCTTGCAGTTACTTACAACAGATTGTTATTTCAGCATGAGGAATCATGAAAAATCAAAGAAGCATCGGGAAATGGTTGCCTTGTTAAAACAACAGTTGGAGGAGGAGGAAGAAAATTTCTCAGGACCTCAAACTGATGAAAATCCGTTGAATGCCAATTCTGAAGACGATCTAGAAGATGCACCAAAACAAAAGTACTTCTAAAAATGTTATTAAACATACTTATAATGTTAGAGATGAGATTGCACTTAAATGCTGTCTTATCTGAAAGAAGTTATTCTGTTATGCTAATATTTTCCACATGTTTTTCTACTTAAGGGAACTTACAAAATTGAAATGGGTAAAGCATGATGTCAAGAATAGTTTATATAGAATTTTTTTGACTGTTAAAAGCAGTTTTATACCTAGGTAATTGACATGTTAATTACTGTCAGTGGAACCACTGTTACAATTTTCTAAAATGATAATGTGAATGTTTTCTTTTTAATATCTTATAGTATTAAATACTTTTAGTATTTTACTTCTCTCTGTATCAGTAGTGTTGTAGTATTTTTTTTTTTTTTCAGTTAGCAGGTAGTCACAGAGTTAAGTATTTGACGTTTTGATTCATATTTGTTCACAGGCTTTCTAAAAAACAGAAGAAAAAGAAACAGAAACCAGCACAGGTATGTTGAAAAGTTTTATTGAATATCAAATTTAAAGATAGAGTGCTTTTGTTTACTCAGTAGAGTCTGCTTTAAGGAGAGGGACTTTCAGTATAATTGTGTTGGTTATAAAATGGATTGAAGGGAATTGAAAATATTTTCTTTTGTCATCCCTTTTTCTCCATTAATATGCATGTAGCTAATTTACTTAATTTCTGTGTCAGTGTGTTTTAAAATTTGTCAAGTGGAATTAATTCCCTAATAGTAATTAGCTGAGTGATCATATTTAAAAAATATTGGGACGTGTGATGACTGGGTTTTTAGATGAGGACAACAGTTAAAACCAGAAATATGTGAAAATCTGAGGTTTGGTTATTGTATATCTAAGTTTCTTTTTCTGACAACATAAGTGAAATTTTGTAAAAGGAATATTTGGTTAGACATGTGTAATGATTGTGATTCTTGAAAAAATGTTTCTTAATATTATTCAGAAATTTAAATCATTTAAATATTTCACACCTGACATCTAAATCCAGTCTCTCTTATGAATATTTTTAAATTGTGGCACCTGAGTGGCTTAGTCGGTTAAGTGTCAGACTCTTGATTTTGGCTCAGGTCATAATCTCAGGGTCATGAGATTGAGCCCTGCATTGGGCTTGGAGCTGACAGAGTGGAGCCTGCTTGGGATTCTCTTTCTCCCTCTCTGCCCCTTCCCCACTCTTGCTTTCAGATAAACATTTTTTAAATATTTTAAAATAAAAGGTTATTATGTTGTTACATATGCGTAACAGTCCTAGGGATGTATAAAAAGGGGGCTTGTCCATTTTACTAAGGATACTTGGTGGGTCTAAGGGGAATAGAATTGATTCCTATGCTATTTTAATATAATCTAATTCTGTTAGTTTATATTAGGTTTTAAATGTTATAGTTCTTTTTGAAAACTGAAAATATTTTCTAATATGTATTTTTTAAATGTTTATTTTGAGAGACAGAGCATGCATGAGTGCAAGCGGGGGAGGGGCAGAGAGAGGATCCCAAGCAGGCTCTGCACTGGCAGTGCAGAGCCCGATGTGGGGCTTAAACTCAATAACTGTGAGATCATGACTTGAGCCCAAATCAAAAGTCAAATGCTTAACCAACTGAGCCACCCAGGCGCCCCAAAAGCTGAAAATATTTTTAAGAAAACATAGTTAACACATTAATAACTTTTCACAAAACTTTAGATTTGGCTTATCTATTTAAATGGTAATATGTTTGAAAATTTTTGTTTTATGTTCCAAAAATGATACGTGACATGTGAATTAATCACTGTTAAAATTTGTGACTTGGAACTTTTGCTTCAATTATAAAACCACATAGCAAGTTGTATGTTCCTTCATAAAATGACTCATCTTCCACCCAAAGATTACAGTTATTAGAACACTTCATCTGGCCTTTGTGTGTGCCAAAACTACTAGAATAAGGACAAAACAAGAGGGATTTATACCTAAGCCAAACCTTCCTTGTCTTGAATCATGAAGGCTAGGTCCTATAGATTGCTGTAATAGACACACGTATCTTTATATTCTTACCAATGGAAATGCTTTGTTTACTACCCCATTTTTCCTCTCCAAAGCTGTGCTTCTTTATACTAATACCTCGTGTTGATTTCTCATTCTATCGGGAAGAAAGCCCCAGTTCAGACCTAGTTTTATGTAGTATTTTTCCTGATGTTTTCGCAGTTCTTTCTGATGGGAGGGTAGCACAGAGACATAAACTGGTAGATTGAAGAGCAGGAGGCAGCAAATACAGAGAATCAGGAGGCGTCAGACTGGAAAAGTTTTCTGTATGGTCAGAAAAAGAAAACAGCATGAGCCAACAAGATTGTGAAAGAATACCCAGAAAACTGAGATTGAATGTGAACAAATGTCCCTGGCTGGCAGAAAGGAGGAATCCAAGTAACTTTTGAACACAGTACTCTGACACCCTCCATGAGACACGTTCTAAAGACAAAATTAACTACAAGATAAAAAAAAATCTTGAAGGCTACTTAGTAGACATTTTGGTAGTAATATTATTACTAGAAATGTGTGACCTGAGTCTAATCATGAGGAAACAGGCAAAGCCAAACTGTGGGAACAAAGCAGCCATCCAATTGTCAATATCATGAAAGACCAAAAAAAAGAAAAGAAAAGAAAAAAGTAGGGCTCTGGTTCTAGAGTAAAGGAGATTAAAGAGATGCGACAACTAAGCACAACGTGTGGTCCTTGACTCTAGCCCCTCTTGGGGCTTACAAGGAAAGGACATTATTGGGTTGTGAATATGGCTTATGTAGCAGATACCATCAGTGCTAAGGTCTTCAGTATGAAGAGGGTAGTGTGGAAATGTAGGAGCATGTTTTTGTTCTTACAAGATACATGGTGAAGTGTCATGATATCCGCCTGCAACTTACTTTCATAGTTCTGGGGTGGGGGAAAGTGTGTGTTCAGAGACCCACAGGAAGGGATAGGGGAGAGCAAATGTGGCAAAATGTTGCCTCAAACCAGAACAACAAAAAAACACAGTTGCAGGGGTGCCTGGGTGGCTCAGTCAAGTTAAGGGTCAGACTCATGATCCCACTGTTTGTGACATGGAGCCCCACATGGGACTGTGCTGTCAGTGCTGGACCTGCTTGGGATTTTCTCTCTCTCCGTTTCTCTCTGCCTCTCCCACGATTGTGTGCTCTCTCTCTCTTTCTCTCTCTGTCTCAGTCAAGAATAAAGAAAAAACAAAGCACAGTTGCACTTAGTGAGGATATATGTTTGCCAAGTTTTGTCTTTTTTTATAATGCTTATTTTGTTTTTTTCTTCTTTCTTTTATAACTATAAAAGTAATGGTTGGGGCACCTGGGTGGCTCAGTCGGTTAAGTGTCTGTCTGACTCTTGATTTTGGCTCAGGTCATGATCTCACAGTCATGAGATCAAGCCCTACATGAGGCTTTGCTGGGTGTGGAGCCTGCTTAGTATTCTGTCTTCCTTTGCTCTTTCCCCACTTGCTTGCTCTCTCTGTGTCTCTCTCTCAAAAAAAAGTAATAGTTGCTCATTGCAGATCATCTGGATACCAGAAAACGATAAATATCATCCCTAATTCTGCCTATAGATATTACTTACTATTGAATTAAATTATAACCAGACATTATATACAATTGTCTCTTTTACATTTCTGCTAATAGGTTGTATTTTTCTACAAAATTGAATCGGTAACTTTGCAAACGTGATTTTTTAAGAGCTTCATCATTCCCTTCATATATTCAACCGTTCACTTAATGAACATATGGATTGTTTCCAATTTTTCCCTAGTTTAATATTGCTGTAATGACCATTCGTGTTTTTTGTGTTGGGTTTTTTTTTTTTTTAAGTTTATTTATTTATTTTGAGAGAGCACGAGCTGGGAAGGGGCAGAGAGAGAGGGAGAGAGAGAGAATCCCAGGCAGGCTCAGCACCGTCGGTTCAATCCCACGAACCATGAGATCATGACCTGAGCTGAAATCAAGAGTCAGACGCTCAACCGACTGAGCAACCCCAGCATCCTTCATCCCTAATGTTTTAAATTGCTAGCTGTTTCTCCTTTTTATTTCCTGAAGATATGCTCCTCCAGAGTGCACAGGACCTTATAATTGATTATAACTATTTGGCAACATAAGAAGCTGGGATTATTATTTATTTTTTAATGCATATATGTTTTACGACCTAGAATTATGATGATAATTTCAATGAAAATGGAACTGGAGAAGGAGTAAAGGTTGAGTCAGAAGATACCAACTTAAATCAAGACCATGCCAAAGAATTCGAATGTAGTCCCCAAGAAAACATCAGTGCCACTGAGACTGTTGAACGATGTGATGACCCTAAAAGTGAAGCTAAAAAGTAAGTCAAGTTGATGGTGTTTTCTAATTAACGTTGGTAAGTAAGAATGCCTTCTCATAGATCAGATAACATCCCGCCTGCAGTTACGAAGTAGATCATGTATATCCGTGACTTCCATGTTACCCAGACAGACAGGTACAGCATGTGGGAAAGAGGATACTGGAGGAATGGGCTCACGGACATTTCAGCAATATGGCCCAAATCAGAAAGGCGCTTTGATGCAGTTTTCATCCTGTTGAGGTCTTATTTTGTCCCGAATCTGTAATCCTTGGCACTCAAGTGAGAACAAGGCTCCTGATGAGGCCACACCCCGCTTGCCTGCAGCATCGCTAACTGTATCTCCATGCTCACGGCGGTCCTCCTGAGTCTGGCCCCACAGTGCAGGTCATTAGGATTTATACTGCAGCCTGGGGCCTTCCTGCTGGAAGGAGCCCTGGAATTTTGGTGCTGCACAAGGTCTTAGTGGCTGCCAGAAGAAGGTTCTTCTCAAGGGAGATAGCATTCCTTGTCCTCCCCTTCCTGCCTTGTCTTTCTTCTCTCCATCCTCTGTTCCTTTAGAGCAGAGAATTTCTTATTCCTTGAGGAAAGATCTGAACAGTAAGTAGCCTCAGGTCCCTGTCAAGGACCATGAGAAAGGGTTCAGTTGACCCAGTAAAGTGGGAGCCTGAGTTGCAAATGATGAACACCAGAGCACCAGCGAAGGGGCGGTGAGTGCACTTGGGGGTTTAGGAATTCAGGGGGCGTCAGTGAGGGACACAGGACAGAGGCCTGGGCTAGGTCTGTAGCTGTAGGAAAAGGAAGGAGAGGAACCACACAAACCGGTAAAGTGTTTCAGCTGTGTTTCAACTGATTTAAGTAAATTCGTTAATGTGTCAACTTTTCACATCTTTTTTTTTAATTAATTTTTTAAATTTAAATGCAAGTTACTTAACATATAGTGTAATAATGATTTCAAGAATAGAATTAGTGATTCATTACTTACTTATAATACCCAGTGCTCATCCCAGCACGTGCCCTCCTTAATGCCCTTCACCCATTTAACCCATCTCCCCACCCAACACCCCTCCAGCAACCCTCAGTTTGTTCTTTGCATTTAAGTCTCTTATGATCTGTCTCTTCCCTTCCCCTGTGTTCATCTGTTTTGTTTCTTAAATTCCACATGTGAATGAAATCATATTTGTCTTTTCTCTAATTTCGCTTAGCATCATACACTCTAATTCCATCCACATTGCTGCCAATGGCAAGATTTCCTTTTTTTTTTTTTTTTGATTGCCAAGTAGTATTCCATTGTATAGTATATGCACCACATCTTTATTCATCAATTGATGGACATTTGGGATGTTTCCGTACTTTGGCTGTTGTCAATAATGCTGCTATAAACATTGTGGTACATGTGCCCCTTCGAATCAGCACTCCTATATCCTTTGGATAAGTACCTAGTAGTGCAGTTGCTGGGTCGTAGGGTAGTTCTATTTTTAATTTTTTGAGGAACCTCCACACTGTTTCCAGAGTGGCTGTACCAGGTTGGATTCCCACCAGCAGTGCAAAAGGGTTCCTCTTTCTACACATCCTCACCAACATCTGTTGTTGCCTGAGTTGTTAAATGTTAGCCATTTTAACAGATGTGAAGTGCTATGTCATTGTGGTTTTAATTTGTATTTTCCTGATGATGAGTGATGTTGAGCATTTTTTCATGTGTCCATTAGTCATCTGGATGTCTTCTTTGGAAAAGTGTCTATTCATGTCTTTTGCCCATTTCTTCACTGAATTATTTGATTTTGGGGTGTTGAGTTTGGTAAGTTCTTTATAGATTTTGGATCCTAACCCTTTATCTGATAAGTCATTTGCAAATATCTTCTTCCATTCCATCGATGCCTTTTAGTTTTGCTGTTTTCTTTTGCTGTGCAGAAGCTTTTAAGCTTGATGAGATCCCAGTAGTTCATTTTTGATTTTGTTTCTCTTGCCTCTGGAGACGTGTTGAGTAAGAAGTTGCCGGAGCGCCTGGGTCGCTCAGTCAGTTAAGAAGTTGCTGAGGCCAAGGTCAAAGAGGTTGTTGCCTGGTTTCTTCTCTAGGATATAGATGGCTTCCTGTCGTACATATAGCTCTTTCATCCGTTTTGAGTTTATTTTTGTGTATGGTGTAAGTGGTCCAGGTTCATTGTTTTGCACGTCGCTGTCCAGTTTTCCCAACACCATTTGCCGAAGAGATTGTCGTTTTTCCATTGGATTTTCTTTCCTGCTTTGTCAAAGATTGGTTGGCCATACATCTGTGGGTCCATTTCTGGGTTCTCTATTCTGTTCCATTGATCTATGTGTCTGTTTTTGTGCCAGTACCATGCTGTCTTGATGATTACAGCTTTGTAATACAGCTTGAAGTCTGGAATTGTGATACCTTCATTGTGAATTCCTTCATCTTGTCATTTTGGAAGAAGAAAAAAAATTAATAAAATAAAACATTGAAATTGAAAAATTTAAAAACAAAAATAAAGGGAAGCTAGATCCTTAGGTGTGTTTCGGTCTGCATGTTGAAAGAAGCTTGATAAAATAGGGAAAAAGGGGAAAGGAAACAAAAATGTAAGAAAAAGTTTGGAAATTAAAATATAATAAAGAAAATGAAATAGAATAATAAATTTAAGAAAATAAAGTAAAAAAAATTGAAATAAAATTTTCTCTTTCGGTATCCAAGAAAGAGAAAGAAAAGAAAGGAAAAAAAAACAGAATTTAAGCAAAAATAGAAGCAAAGAAAACAAATAAATGAACCAGCAAACAAAATGAAACCCGAATGAAGTTACATCCAGTTTCCCCTAGAACTGAAACTATGAAACCTTCTAATAGCCTGTACACTAAGCAGGTGGTTTTGACCTCTGCTGGTCTTCTAGGGGATGAGCTTGGACGGTGTGGTTGGGCAGGGGTTGGTGTAATGGCTCCGTTCTCCGGTATGTGGCATCACTTAACTTACTGGAGTGGATTGGTATGGCGTGCATGCATGAGCACACATGGGATTGCATGGGAGAGGTGAAAGTGGCTTCACCCAGCTCCTAGTCTCTGGAGCAGGAACTTTGTACTCTCACTGACCCATGATCAAGCACCCTTTCTTTCTCTCAGGCCTCCGTCCACAGCCCACCTCTACCCTGTCCGTGTCCAAGCCGTCCACCTGCCAGACAGCACCTCTCTCCAGAGTTTTATCTCAGATGGGGTTGTGTTTCAAAACCCCACACTTCAAAAACCCCCATGGCTCAGACCCACTCCAACGCTATGAGGGAGAGTCTTGCTGAGGAATGGCCGGGTGCTGGCTTGTCCCAGAAAACGTTCATGTGATGGCACAGCAGCAGAAGTTCAGAGGTTGTGGCAAATCACAACACACAGCAAGCACCAGGTTTCACTGTACTCTGCATCTTCATCCCAATATCAGCAAATATGGCTGCTCTCTGGGGTCTGCTGGGACCTTTGCCTGTGTGGAGGCCGTATGCCCTCTACCAAATGCTCTCTAAGCAGAGGACCCGCTTCTCCCTGTATGGGACAGAGACCCCTGAGACCTTGCTGCCTGCTCCTGGGGATTCACCCTGCTTCCTCACCTGAGCACTGCCAGGTACTGAGGTCCAGAACTTCAGACTCTGTGCTCTACTGTTTATAGAATCCTAATGGTATTGAAACCCCCTTCTTTCTCCCCGTCAGTAATTTTGGGGAACAGATTTCCTGTTCAGTCCTCTGCGAGTGTTCTCACTCTCTCTTTCTCTTTCTCTCCAGCTGCTTCCGGGGGAGTGCTTTTATTGCACGATACTGCTGTGCCACACTCTCCCCCTTTCTGTCCTTTCTCTGCAGAAACGGCTCCCTACGCTCCACGGCTTTTCTCTCCCCCAATTCATGTCTCCGCGATGCATACCTGCCTGATTCTGTGGCTCAAGTTACTGTTGTGTTAATCCTCAGATCAGTTTCCTAGTTGTTCAAAATGGTTTGTTGCTGATCTAGTTTTTTGTTTTTGGGGACCAGACGAGCTCAGGATCTACATACTACTCTACCATCTTAACTCCCTCCTCAAATTTGACATCACATGTGATCTCTAAATTTGCTCTTTAAAGCAGTTCATTTGAGATGTGAAAATTAATTAATTGGCCATAAAAATTAGTGAATTAGCCCTTAAAGTGCATGTCACTCTTTTGAATCTTCTTGGGAGCAAGGTAGCAATTAAAAGGGATACGTTATTGGGGCACCTGGGTGGCTCAGTCTGTTGAGCGTCCGACTTTGGCTCAGGTCATGATCTCACAGTCTGTGAGTTCGAGCCCCACGTCGGGCTGTGTGCTGACAGCTCAGAGCCTGGAGCCTGTTTCAGATTCTGTGTCTCCCTCTCTCTCTCTGACCTTCCCCCGTTCATGCTCTCTCTCTCTGTCTCAAAAATAAATAAACGTTAAAAAAAAAAAGGGGGATACGTTATTATTGGATTATACAGAATTCTTTAATTTATTTTCCAGTGCTCCTAAACCCAAAGGAAAGAAAGCCAAAGATATGAAGAAATCTGTCAAAGTACCTGCTGAACAACAGGCAGTGGTAGGTCAAAGTCATATTGACATGTTTTCAGTAGACCTTGTTTAAGTAATCTAAATTCTTAATTCTAATTCTAAAGACAAGTATTTGGTGAACCCTTCTGCACCTACTGTATATATAGGTGTGGATCCGTCAACAGTTTTTCTTGGTGGATGTAGAATGTATAGATAGGTGTGTCATTGTTTTTCTTTAAAAAGCACATTGGAAATACCAAACTGTACTAAAACAGTTACTGTTCTGTTTTCCATTACTTTGAAATCTAAAACCTTGATCTGGTCCATATGGTACATGCTATTGAATGTCTCAGACTCTTTAAAGTTGATGGTGCTGGCTGATGGGACTTAACTTCTAAGAACAGCTGCCTCTTTGGAAGCCTGTCTTGGTGGCTGCCATTTTGATAAAAGTTCTTTATTTTGAATTATTTGATATTTAATCTCAACGTGAAAACATAAATCACTGCACTCAGGTAATAACACTTTAAGTGATGTATTTTTTTCTCTCTTCAGAGTGATGTTCTTATCAGCTGTACAACCTGCCATAGTGAATTTCCATCCCGGAATAAACTTTTTGACCATCTGAAGGCCACAGGTCATGCGAGAGCACCTTCATCATGTTCTTTAAACAGTGTAACAAGTAGTCGAAACAAGAAAGAGAAACGTAAAAACAGATAGAAATTCTGTCAACACTTTTTCTTTTTGATTGTTTCTAGATTTTAAAACCAAAAACTGAACTGAAATCATCTAAACAGTTAAAATTTCAGTGATCTGCAATTTCTTGCATTGTGGAAGATTATTTTTTATCTTGTAAAAACATTTTTTCGTTTAATATATATATTTTTAAACATTTCATTAATGGTTGAATTCTACTTTGCCATCTGAATTGACTTGAATGTCTCAAAACAGGTAAATATTGTAAAGTATGCATTCTTGATTTCTCTTGGCTCATGGTGAACAGAAATGTACAGGGAGAATTAAATTATTTTAACACATACAGATGCTCCTTTCTGTTTTGTTTTGTGGAATTCGCATAGTATTTTCACATGATTCAATGCTTTTGTATTGTTATACTTCATGATCTGTCAAAGACTCAGATTGTTTTAAAATCATCGTAGAGTTTTTTTTCCCACTTGATAACATGACTCCAGTTCTGACTTTCAAATTATTTCTAAATAATCTATTGTTGATTACTGTATTTTTTTCTTCAGGGACAGTGATAGGTAGAAACAAATTGAGCATACATAGTTATATTTCAAGACTAATACCTCTTCAAGGTGTCACTGTTGATTTTGAGATTTTATAGGTAATTATCAGTAAGGTAGATCTTTGGTATTTTGCTCTGATTTAAATTGTGGAGGTGGAAGCAAATTAATGAAGATGTTGCTTCCTTCTTTGACACAGTGACAGCCATGAAGCATTATGGATCAAGGTGGTGGATGTTCAGATTTTATACCGACTTTTTAAAAAAGGATATTCTGCCTTGGGGTTTGTTTTTCACTATTTTCAAAAGTTTTTAATTTTGTTTTTTTCATCATTTAATGGAAGACACTTTTTAATAAAAGTTTTTTCATAGGGCTGATATTTATGCCATGATTCGATAGCAAAGATGAATATTGACTCAAAGGAAATCTGGAGAATTGTTGAAAGTGAGTGTGGTCAAGTATACGGACCAGTAATGAGCCAGATTTTAGGATGAGGATGGATTAAGTAGGCAGTTCTTCTAATTGGCCTTGAGAGTAACTCTGAACTCACTAGCTTAAAATATATACTTTCTGTTTAGCGAAGTTCTCTCCTTATGTCCTTGAATCCTCAAATGAAGGAATCTTCAATTATGCGTGAGCTCTAGAACCTGAGTCTCCGATGGCAAGGACTTTCCTGAAAGTCTCATGGGATAGAATTGAGCTCAATCATTCTGTGTGCTTGACTTGAAAATATGCATTTGTATTTTAATTTTTAATTGTTTCCTTCTTCATTTAGAGACATAAGTAGATTCTCTTTATCTTTTTTCCTTTTTGTTTCTAACTTCTGTCACTAACTTCTCCTAATTGATGTTTCTTGTCCTTTTCTTGTCCCTTCAGGGAGAATAGCAGCCAGGTCAGAGGGCTCTTCCTTCCAGGCTGGATCTGAAAACATGCCCCCCTCCTCTAACAGAACGAGGTGGATTGGCTGTAATTATGAATAGGAATATTGATGAGCAGGAGGAGATACTGATCGCATGTACACTAAAAGTGTGAAGTCCTCTTGAAACGCCCTATAAATGCCCTTCAGACTTCCCTTGCTTTCACTTGTAACCACCATGCAGGTGTTCGGTTTCTGCTTCATATGAGGGTTGGTAGGGCTTACTTGCCACTTTTATTCTGATTGGCAAAACTCAACCAGATTTTGAAGGGATCTTCATTAGCTGTGATTAAAAGTTAGAGCTCAGGGGCGCCTGGGTGGCGCAGTCGGTTAAGCGTCCGACTTCAGCCAGGTCACGATCTCGCGGTCCGTGAGTTCGAGCCCCGCATCAGGCTCTGGGCTGATGGCTCGGAGCCTGGAGTCTGTTTCCGATTCTGTGTCTCCCTCTCTCTCTGCCCCTCCCCCGTTCATGCTCTGTCTCTCTCTGTCCCCAAAATAAATAAACGTTGAAAAAAAAAATTAAAAAAAAAAATATTAAAAAAAAAAAAAAAAAGTTAGAGCTCATTTGTAGTCCTATGCATGTAATGTTGACCAGTTGTTTAACTTCTCCGAATTTCTTTCTCATCATCTCTAACAGTTCTTGGCATAGTATTGTCTCCATTTATCTTACCAGGATTATTACAAAGGGCAGATAAGATAGTATTATGAAAGTGCTTTCTAAATACAAAAGCTTTATATAGAATGTTGAATTTAAATGCGTTAAATCTTTTTAAGTTAAATTTAGTTGAATTAAATGTGTATTAAGTTTTATGGGAATGTCCTTCCTATATACTAATCTACTTCTGAAGAGGAAAACAGCAACATGTATTATGCTGAAAGTAAAAGGTTATTTTTGGTGACTCATAGACATTCTATTTCATTTGAAGGAAAACAGAATAGTCTAAAATACACGAGCACGTACCTTACATTGATCTCATTAAAGGTCAGTAGTAACCATCACCTTGACTGAAGTAAGTTGAGGTATGGAAGATGGATGGAATGTGGCTTCTGTGAGGAGAGGGTTAGGGCAGATCCCATATTCTCTCCGTAATTCATTGAGTGGCACCAAAGCTGGGGTTCTCTAGAAAGCCCAGTGAGACTTTATCTGTTTCAAAATAGGAGCAGTATCCTTACTTAGCAAAAGTATACGATGGGAAAATAGAACTGCATCAAAATAAAAGCTCTTTGTAGGATGGTAGGCAGCACGAGTAAAACGACAAGTCTCAGACTGGGAGAAGTTGTTTGCAATGTGTATAAGTGACAGGATTAGTATCCAGAATACATGAAAGAGTCCCTCCTACAAATCAGTGAGCAAATGACAACCATGTATTAATTAATACCTCAGTTCTCAAACTTTTTTGGTCTCAAGACCTCTTCACACACTTAAAAATTGAGAACTCCACAGAGTGTGTGTGTGTTTAGGTTCTATCTATTGATACTTACTCTCCTAGAAATTAAAATAGAAGCATTTTTAAAGTATTAAAAATAGTACAGGTTATGAAATTACACAGTTACGAAAAAGAACTTTCAAAGTTTAATGAGAGGAATTGGCTTAACATTTCTGAAAACTTCTTTGTCTAGCTTAATGAAAGATAGCCGGATTCTCAAATTGGCTTCTGCAGTCGGTCTGTTGCTCTGTGTTTGGTTAAAATATATGAAGAAAATGGAGCTTCACATGGGTCGGAAATTGGAAAAGGAAGGACCTTGGGGGCCAGTCTGGAATCCCCAGGGTCCTCACATGACACCGAGACCACGTTAGAAAAGTGAATAAAAATTTGAACAGAAAAAACTTGAATAGTTTCAAAATATGAAAAGATGATCATCGTTAGTGATAACCAGGGGACTATGACTTAATTTTTGTTTCATGCTTTCAGACCGGCAGATCAAGATTGAATGTTAGGATGAAGAAATGAAAATTGATTTCTTCTGAAGTAAAATTGATTCAGCTCGATGATGTCTGTGAAAGTTGAAGATATGGATAGCCTGTGACCCTTGGCTCTGTGACCCTGGGCACATAACTAGAGTCTCCCTTCTCAGAGTCCACAGAGCTGCCGTGTGAACTTCACCTGGGAACTCTCTCTGGAGTGCAGCTCTCAGGTTCCGCCCGGGACTTGCCGTGTGACCATCTGTTGTTAACAAGATTTCTCAGGGGATTCCTACCCTCCTTGAAGCTTGAGGAGCAGTACTCAGGGACCCTTGCATGTGTGTACAGGGCACATTATTGCTACATGGACGCTCACAGCTGAATTGTTTTAAAATACTTAAATGTCCATGAACAAGACAACGGGTAAACTGAGGCCTATTTATAAGTGGGCAAACAATTGAGCAGTTAAAATGAGGGAACTTGATCTGTAATATCAGTGGCTAGCTGTCGAAAAAATGTTGGGTGAGAATAAGCCGATCAGAAGATGAAACATATGCCATTTATAAAGTTTTTAAAAATACTATTGTCTATGAAGAGAAAGTAGAGAAACCTCGCTGGGAAGCACTGATGAGAAAAGTAATCGCCTCCAGAAAAGAAGGGAGAGGAACGGAATTGGTGCGGCAGCAGGAGGGACCTCATCTGAGTCCTTTTTTTCTCAGATCTGGAGGAAAATATTAGCATTTGTTATTTCTGGATGGTGGGTAGTGAGGGTTAAGTCGATTTTCATGAAATACTTCAAACAGAACTCTGAGTTAATGTTTCCCTTCTGGCCAGCAGAAAATACACCCTCACGAAAGGGGAGAGGAAGGGTTTAAGATCTCCATTTTACTCCTGGCATGTTTTGTAAGCACATGGTGGAAGAGGCTTTTACATCCTCTCAGTCCCCTTCTTCCCTCAAACTCTGATATCTTGTTGGCACAAAGCCACCCAGCACATAACGATCATCTTCCCAGCCTCCCGACAGCTAGGTGTCAGTAAGTTCTGGCCAGTGATTTGAGCAACTCTTGGGACGTGCCCTTCAAGGCGTGGGATGTCTTTATTCCTTCCTTTTGCGGGCTTACAGGAAGAGGTAGCCGCCGGAGCTCTAAGCCCAGTCTGGGACCACGAGTCCTTCCGGGGCAGAGCAACTAAGGCACAGGAGCTTGACGCCTCAGAGGGACTCTCCAAGCCCCAGACTACCTACCTCTGCACCCCAGAGAAATGTCCCACGTTACAGAAGCCTCTGTTGTTTGGGGCTTTGGGTCACAGGTGACTCAAGCCCTGACTGATTCGGCATGTGCACGGTCACCTAAATGAGAGGTATGACTTCAACAGTGGCCAGGACATGGGCTCTTAACTCTGGGAGGGCTTAGATCAAATTCCAATGCCAGCATTAACTAGATGACCTTGGGCAAGTCGACTATTCAAACACTTTAAGCCTTTTTTTTTTTTTTTTTTTTTAATCCGTAACCTAGGGATAAGACCAACCTTGCAGAACTGTAAAGGTTAAAGCTTTAGGGGTGAGCACCACGCTTGCACATCCTAGGCATTCAGTATCTGCTAACTATTACTTCTCTCCAATGACCTCTTCTGCTTTAAGTTTTCTTGCTTTAGCGTCACCTGGGTGGCTCGTTAAGCATCTGACTTTGGCTCAGGTCATGATCTCATGGTTTGTGAGCTCAAGCCCCACATTGGGCTTTCTGCTGTCAGCAGAGAGCCTGCTTTGGATTCTCTGTCTCCCTCTCTCTCTGCCCCCCCCCCCCCCAAGTAAATAAACATTAAAAAAAATCGTTTTCTTGCTTTAACTGTTGTCTTTAATTTCTGAAATAATCCAAACAATGAAGTGGTAATGTGGAGAGAAGTCCATGATTATATCGATCCTCTAGTGTATTAAAAAAGAAAAGTACTACTGTATATGTTAAAACTCTTTCTGGCCTAATGGGGAAAAAATCTGTACAGGCTGAAGCTGACAATTTGCTATTTCAGTGCTGTTGTGTGACATCAGTGGAAACTGTCCTGAGGATCAGTGATTTAATTACGTTGGAAGGCTCAGCACATTTGTATACAGATAATTACTTTGCTATTAAAGCCACTCAGGGCCCCAACATCATGAATGTCCTTTCAGATACAGGGTGCCTTCTGAAAATAGAAAAGGCTCAAATTATCCTTTGCACTACAAATCATTTGGATGTCAGAGAAAGCTTCTAACGATTTCTAAAATTGGAAAGATCCTCTTAGCATTTGGGTGACATGGTATCTATACATCTCTTCAAATGCTTTTTTTTTTTTTAACATTTTTTAATTTATTTTTGAGAGACAGAGATAGAGCATGAGCAGGAGAGGGGCAGACAGAGAGGGAGACAGAATCTGAAGCAGGCTCCAGGCTCTGAGCTATAAGCACAGGGCCTGATGCGGGGCTCGAACTCACGGACCGGGAGATCGTGACCTGAGCCAAAGTCTGACGCTTAACTGACTGAGCCACCCAGGCTCCCCTCTCTTGAGGTACCTCTATTCAAATTTAATAAGAACTCCTAGTTTTGTGAATCCAAAGGTAACCATATTCTCGGCGTGTCCTGAAGTGGAATTTCCAACAGAGTTGCCTGTTAGAAGTGCCAGAGGAGGATGCCTGTGGCGGGGCGCGGGACCGACCCCGAGTGACAGCGGGGGCCTGGGCTGGGCCTCTCTACCTGCACTTCCAGAGGAGGCCAGAGCAAGCTGGCACCACTCCACCTGTCCCCACTCCGGGCTCACTCCAAAGCTCTGTTTCCCGGCAACCTAGTGCGGAGGACATCTCTGTTTGTCCTTCATTCCCGAAACTATCCTTCTGTTCCGATGTGCTGGGAGCAGGTAGGAAGCACTTGCTGAGTGTCTTAGTCCTGCGCTCGTGTTGCGGCCAAGACTGTCAGGGCCGATTTGGCCTATTTCTGTTGTGGAGCTTGACCTTCAGTTTTCAGTAAGGAGCAACAGTTTCTCAAACATTGATTCTGTGTTTGTTTGAAACTTGTGTGTTTGAACAACAGAATTACGAAATGCTGTTTGCGGAAGGTCCAGAATACGAAAAGGAAGACAGATGTCCCCTGAGGTCCCACACATACCAACATTGTAATATATCCTCCCAAGACTATTTCTAAGCACGTAGAGATACTTAGGAAAAATAAACCAACTGAACTTGCCCCCTAGATACTGTTTTATAACTTCCCTTCTGCTTGTGCACATGCTCTATGTCAGCTATTATATATCCTTATCACTTTCAAGACTGAATGATACATGATTGTATATGGTTGATATAATTGATCATTTAGGTTTTAATTTTTTTTTAATGTTTATTTTTGAGAGGGAAAGAAAGAGTACGAGTAAGGGAGGGGCAGAGACCAAGGCAGACAGGATTGGAAGCAGGCTCCAGGCTTTGAGCAGTCAGCACAGAGCCCAAAACAGGGCTCGAACTCACAGAGGGCAGGCAAGATCATGACCGGAGCCACAGTCGGAGGCTTAACCGACTGAGCCCACCAGGTGCCCCAAGGGATTACCCATTTAAAGCGTTGATCAGCACTGCTCGATTGCCTTCTCCAAAAATTGAATCTGCCTATATTCTACTCGTAGTGCATGAGAGAATGAATAACTTTCGTCAATATGGCAAGGTCAAACCCTAATACTGTCCATGATACATGTTCAACATAAACTGAGCCGAAAGAGTTGAAAATTGTTTTGAGAGACATCATTTTCTTCTGTATATCAAATAGGCTTGTCCTTGCTTTCTGGATGCACCCACTATGACAGCCACAGTTGGCCTTTGGGAACAGGGTGAGTGACACGGTGTGACCAGCAAACTGTGACAGGGCAGTATTGGACCCTCACAGCAGCCTCCCACCATGTTCACATCCAACACCAAATATTTAGGCTTCAGTGTAATTCCAGGATATCAACATGGATGATGAGATATTTGGGGGTTTATTTTTTTTTAATATTAAATATAATTTATTGTCAAATTGGTTTCCATACAGCACCCAGTGCTCATCCCAACAGGTGCTCTCCTCAATGCCCATCACCCACTTTCCCCCTCCCCGCCACCCCCCATCAACCTTCAGTTTGTTCTCAGTATTTAAGAGTCTCTTAATGGTTTGCGGATGATGAGATATTTTCATCGTGTCCAGCTTTGATCTGTTTCTTCCTGGTCTTTCTTGGTTACCTTCCCTGAACAAAAAGCAAGCCCACGGCAGCCAATGTTGAAAACGTCTTTTGAGGTCCTGGTGGTTTTGCTTTCATCAGTCTGTGCAAAGTGGAGCCGTCTCACTTCTCAGGAAGCTTTGCCGCCAAAGCAGCCGGAGATGCCCCCTGGGTCCTCCGGGGAGGGGCCAGGTGATCTCAAAGTCCTCGCTCACTCAACAGCTGAAAAAAAGCTCGGTACTGCGTGCATCTGCTTTCTCCCCAGACACGAATTGTGTGTTGAAAAGGTAGCACAGATGAGGATTGCAAACCACTGCAAGGAGTTTTGAGGAGAAATCCCCTCATTCAAGGTGGGAATGCCCAGCCGCAGCTACTTCCTGGCTGAGATGAGTGTGTTCTGCAATCTGGTCACCCCGACAGAAGCTTGTGCGGCTGGAGAGACATGTCCATGGGGCTCCTCTGCAGGTACCGTTAACTCGGGCCCCCTTGGTTCCAGTGTTCAACACCCTCAGGCAGGATCTGGTGTCCGCCCCCAAATCCTGGAATCTCCCTCCTGGGTTCCTCCTCGTCCTGTTGCCCAGGGATCCCGCCCTCCTCATTTCCTGAAGAACAGTGAGTAAATCCTCAGACATGGTGGCCATTTGAGAAGGCAGGTATGTGAGGAGCCTTTTGAGATACCTCAAAACCAAGAGGTAGGGATAGCTCTTCCCTCCACTTACGATCAGGGTGGAGGGTGGAGGTGTTAGATCCACGTGGGCTCAAATCTCAGCTCTAGAATTTCATTTACGAGGTTTGTTAACCATGGAACATTAGTTCAGAGCTTTGAGCCTGTTTCCTTTAGAGTAAAATAGAAGTGACTAATGTTACGTCATGGCTTAGTGGTTAAAACCATGAAATCTCAGGGCGTTTGGGTGGCTCAGTCGGTAAAGCCTCCAACTCTTCATTTCCGTTCAGGTCATGATCTCCTGGTTCTTGAGTTCGAGCCCTGCAACCGTCTCTGTGCTAGCAGCACGGAGCCTGCTTGGGATTCTCTCTCTCCCTCTCTCTGCCCCTCCTCCTGCTCTTACACACTCTCTCCCAAAATAAAGAAATAAACTAAAAGAACCTCATGAAATCTCATATACAAATGGCCTAGCAGAGTGCTTGACAGAGATGCTTATTAAATCCTGGTTTCCATCCTGGTTCCCTTCCCCCTGCCGTGCCCTAAGGAGCATGGACTTACTCACCAATCAGTGTTTCACCAGATCTCCCTCAAAGCACGCGTTCTTCTCTGGATCTCAATTTCTTTGCCATTTTATGAGGAGGCAGAAGTGTGACCTGAGTTCTCTCGTCCTGGGGCCACTGCAAGGGGCAGTTACGGTGACCTCCAGCCCCGGGA